GAATTGAGCAATGCATCTACATAGGACGCTTCCATAAATTTCAGCCACTTAAATAAATTTCGCTATGAAACTTCGGAACATATACCTACCATAATTAGGAAGTGCATAATGAAGCAGAGTAATCGCCTTCAGACACACATATGCTTCGAGTGTTATTTTGAGACGACTGAATGAGTACAATAATGCGGTGAACTTCTCAACCAGAGGTCCCGCTTCTCTGAAAAGTTCATTTGTTAAGAATAAGTGAAGATGAGGCTGAATTCTAAAGGTAATCCGAAATAAGAAACGTTCGAAATAACGCAAGAAAAGGATAAACTCACTTATTAACATGTTCCAAAGGAATCTCTTTGCCCATAACAGCACTAAGACGTTTCTGAAGCAATTGCAGATTGATGGATGAATCGACGAAGGAAACTTCTTCAGTACCTTCGACAGTAGTGGAACTCACAGGAAGAACGTCTTGGCATGCAGTTGCTGTGGATGTAGCATAGAAGCACGCAGATAGAAGTACCTTAAATTTCAAGTATCGGTCTAACGCCATTTACATACAACAATCAATGCCCATTCTTCAAAAGTTAACCTATTTCTTTAATTTACTATTACTGTCAGACCCGAATGTATGAATCTCATGACTGAATCTATCAAACAACGCTGAAGTGAAGCTTACCAATTCGGCCCATCGCTGCGTCAAGAGATGAGTGTGTACCTCTACGGGTAATTCATGATAAAATGGCAACATTTTTGTCCATTCAACTAGTTGTTCAACAATTTCGTCACCAATTCTTGATAACCGTTGACATGCGGGTACACCTGATGACTCATTATCAATTCTGTGTGCAATTCGTAATCCCTTCAGATTGATCAAATTATCAATCCGATCAATTTCGATCAATTCCTGAAAAGACGCTGATTTTTCTTCAGTCAAACATACTTCAAACTGCTGCAATCACCTTCAGATATGTGAACAGCTTCGGTCGAAATGGTGCGCATTAAAAATGTGCAAAACAATGCATTTAAAATTCAAAAGATTCAATGAGAACAAATTATAAGAAAGGAGGCCATGCTCATAAATGTGAAGATAGCGATGGACATTTCAAACAGAATTATGCTCAATGGTGTGAAGTTGGTCAAGGGCATCAATTTTGTATCAATGTGACTAAAGTGTTTCATTATAATTGTAAGAGTAATTGCTAAATTTGAAAATTTGGGATATTTAAATAGAGGTATTTGTATTCTCGTGTAAGAACCGCTAACATCTCAGCTCATTGTATTTGTTGTGATTAATCTATCAATATTGCACATTCATGGAATAATAATCAATTACGTTGC